TTAATTAGAGTCAACTACTGCAGTCTCTGGACTGATCCCGAATTTCACCAAGGCCTCCAAACCGACTCAGGTAAATTCTCCTCGCACTGATCCGGCTTCCGCACCACCAACGACAGAGGCTTCTGCTGCGCCGAACAGTACACTAGGTCCATGGGCTCAGGACTGGGACTGTAGCTGGATGCCTCAGAAACTGATCGGGCGCCGCGCTCTGGCTCGATCGGCACCAACAGTGGCACTGGCGTGGGCACAGCGTGCTGGTTCTGAGCCGACGCTGGCAGAACCAGAGCAATGTCGCCGTTGGGGAGCCGAGTGGGCACCAGTTGCACCCCAGATCCAGAGCCGTTGCTCAGAATGATGCCGGGCTGAGGCACCTGTTGCTCAGGAGACCGCTGGGGGTTGGGCAAGATGTGCACTTGGACTTGGGGCGCGTCTGGTGACTTGCAGGTCTGGTTCAGGTAACTGGCCAGGTACTGGAGGAGTTTGCGTTTCACTACAGGGTCCATGTTTGGGAATCGGTCTACTTCGGTGGCACATTCGGTGAACCCCGCCCGGAATTTACCTACAGAGGCTGGGTCGGCAACAGTAGACATGGTCTGCTTTTGGCGCTGGAGGGTGCGCAGGTAGTTTACGGTCATTTCCAGAATGTCGGCCTTTTCCAGCTTGGAGTGTCTGGCCGGCTGGAAGGAGGGAATTTCGTTTTCAGAGGACGAAGCAAGCTAGAAAACGAGCTACTCACATCTTTTTGCATGGCGTCTAGAATCAGGGTTTTCAGTTCGTTGAGGCAATTGTTGATCCTCGCCCGTCTTCGCTTCTCCATGATTGGCTTATTGCTCTGCAAATCAACAAATCAACGATTACACTCCCATACAGCCACGCATTGACCGTATTTTCCATCGGAAGCATGCTCAATGTTCCGGTAGGTCAACACCCTCAATCGTCCTCAAAGAGGCTTTTTGGCCCAGAGGCTTTGAGGTGCGCTCAACTGAACCAACTGGAAAAGTGGTGCAATTTGCGGCATAGAGGCTGGCCGACGAGATGAAAACGGGAAAACTGAACGGCATTTGGGACACTGTATAGAAGTAAGACGACCTTGCTTGAGGCACTCCTATGCTAAGAATCTTGGCGTGGGAAAACGGTTGCGTCAAGCGTGGCAGCCTCGTGCCCGACTTGGCAACGTGCCGGGACGCTCTTTTGTTTTATATTTAGCCGAGACGCCGGCTCTGATCAAATATCCGCGACGGCGTCGGAACGTTCGGACGCTTCCTCCAAGGCTTTTCGCACAGACCACGTTAGTCAGTTTGCGCAAAATTAATTAATTTTTGCCGACTGGAATTAGTCGGCACCTTGTGGACAATTTCTGCAGTGTGCACGATCCATGCCATCATTTCTGAAGATTGTTGGGAAAAAAGAGTGCTGAAGACATTTTTCTTCACACTCACACGCCAATTGAGGTGGATTTTGCATTGTCATTGATTGGACTTTGATCTGTTTCTTGCGTGCTTCTACAATGGGGACTAATGGATTCTAAACTAGGGCTTTTCCGCTTTTTTGCATGTTTTTTTTAGTACCCGTGATTTGGGCAGTTTCAGTGGGAAAAAGTCATGGATCGGCCATAAATTTAGCCAAAAAACAGTTGCCACGTTCTACCAAAATCGCCATTTTTCGGCTAAACTTCACGCGGTATTGCCAAGCTGCATAAACGGCTTGATGTCAATGGAAATGTAGATCCTCCGCTAGGTCTCAATTCATATATTTTTTCCAGTTTTATGCAAAAAAATCAGCCGATTGAGGCGACAGATGAACGAAATCGGGTGTTCGGCACAACTTCAACCGCCAATACTTTCCAATGTGTTTGTTCTGCTGAGTTCTTTGAGCAGACCCTGATTTTCATGCAAAAAATTTTGATAACTTTGATTGGCACAACTTTGAGAATCTTTAGAATCTTATGCGTTTCTTGTGCCGAGCCCTTCGGACACGACACTGATTTTATTGCAAAAAAACCTTCCAAACTGTATTTTCTAATTTTTGTGTTGTTGTTTTAAACTTTGAGAATCTTTAGAATCTTATGCGCTTCTTGTGCCGAGCCCTTCGGACACGAAACTGATTTTTTTAAGAAAAAACCTTCAAAACTTTATTTTCTGTTGTTCTTCAAACAGTGTCGTACCCGAAGGGCTCGGCACAACTTTGAGAACCTTTAGAATCTTATGCGTTTTTTGTGCCGAGCCCTTCGGACACGACACTGATTTTATTGCAAAAAAACCTTCCAAACTGTATTTTCTAATTTTTGTGCTGTTGTTTTAAACTTTGAGAATCTTCTGAATCTTATGCGTTTCTTGTGCCGAGCCCTTCGGACACGACACTGACTTTATTGYAAAAAAACCTTCCAAACTGTATTTTCTAATTTTTGTGATGTTGTTTTAAACTTTGAGAATCTTTAGAATCTTATGCGCTTCTTGCGCCGAGCCCTTCGGACACAAAACTGATTTTTTTTAAGTAAAAAACTTTAAAACTGTATTTTCTGTTGTTCTTCAAACAGTGTCGTATCCGAAGGGCTCGGCACAACTTTGAGAACCTTTAGAATCTCATGCGTTTGTTGTGCCGAGCCCTTCGGACACGACACTGATTTTATTGCAAAAAAATCTTCCAAACTGTATTTTCTGATTGTTATGTTGTTGTTTTAAACTTTGAGAATCTTTAGAATCTTATGCGCTTCTTGTGCCGAGTCCTTCGGACACGAAACTGATTTTGTCTAAGAAAAAACCTTTAAAACTGTATTTTATGTTGTTCTTCAAACAGTGTCGTACCCGAAGGCTTCGGCACAACTTTGAGAACCTTTAGAATCTTATGCGTTTGTTGTGCCGAGCACTTCGGACACGAGACTGATTTTTTGCAAAAAAAAAACTTTTAAAACTGTATTTTCTGATTTGTCTGTTGTTGTTCTTCAACCAGTGTCGTGCCCGAAGGGCTCCGCACAACTTTGAGAAACCTTTAGAATCTTATGCGTTTGCATAAGATTCCAAATGCAAAAGCACCTTTAAAACTGTGTCATGATTTTTCTGATGTTCTTCAAACAGTGTTGTGTCCGAAGGGCTTGGCACAACTTTGAAAACCTTTAGAATCGTATGCGTTTGTTGTGCCAAGCCCTAAGAACACGACACTGATTTTATTGCAAAAAAATTCCAAACTGTTTTTTCTGTTGTTGTTGTTCTCGGCACAACATCGACATGCTTTAGAGCCCAGAGCGAATTTACCCAAACTTTGACCAAAAACAGAATTATTATGAATTTTAGCGACAATTTTTCGTCTCGAGTCATGAATTGTTGGTACCTAAAACACGATTTAGCCGCAAACAGCGCCGGAAAATCTAATTTTCGTGTATAAATACTTCGAAAAGGCGAATTTCCAAAGCGTTTTTAGACAATTTATGAACGATCGAAAATGTTTTCTTACTAAAACTGCAAGTAAAAGCAACCAAATAGGTCACCCACGTATCGTCCTTTTCTATTATCAGTTCGTGGTGAACTTCGTCTACTGCTTCATTTGCTACATTTTTCAACCTACTGATTCTCTACTCAGTTTTTGTGTTCAAGCAGATGGACGTACTTGAAAGTGTTTGCAACCTTTGAAGAAAATAATGCAGACTTTCCAATGGAAACCAAACAGACAGCTTTTGGCCCGACGGATCGAAGTAAGTTGAAGATAGAGAACACAATTAACGAAATAAATGTTTCAAAAGAAGAACAAACTCCAATACATAAATCAAGAAGGAAGAAAAGTACCCGAATAACCTTTAGAATTAACAATATTCCGATGATTTTCAGGAATAACCGACTCAAAAAACAATCGATAGCGTTAGCATTACGTGCCGTTAAAATCGCCTACTGCAAAAACGTGTCAGGGTACTACTATACGAGCCATTGTTTTAATTGAGGTTGTGCCGTGATTGTTTTTTTAACATCGGTACTACGCTGTTCCGTTCCCTGTTGTTTACTGTAATTGGCCAAATCGTTTACATTGACGATATAGCTGGAACTCGAAGCAGTTAGCGATTTTAGTAGGTGGAGGATGTTTATTCATGACAGGATTATAAACCGACCCGCCTGTTCTTGTTCGGCAAATCAATAAATATGGAATAGTGACGTGTTCCCACATGCAAAATGGGCATTTTCCACGCCCAACTCAAACGGAATGAGAGGTTCGATGATGTGCAACAGGCGTTTGATCCGGCGCTCGGTTGCTTCAAACTCACAAAAATGTTGACAAAATTGTAAAGCCAGAGCAAATTTTTGGTGTTTGCTCAATTTAACCTGGTGTTGACCAGCTTTTCAAACGCTGATGTCTACAAAGGAGACATCATTTCGCATTTTCAAAACGAGGAATAATGAGAAAACGGGCCTTTTTCAACCGGGAAGAAATTGCAGGAGCAACTTTGTCACCAGCTTAACGGGTTTGCTGCATATCTCCCCAAAACCCAACAGACCTTCTTCAACCTTCCGCCCACTGGAGTGGAGAAATCATTGCCTGCAAACCCATTTTAACTTCGTGGTGACACAGTTTATAAACAACCACTTTTGCCCCAAATGCGCTCATATTGAATTGGGCCTCCACGGTCTCCTGACTTGGTCCGCAGGGGGAACCCCAGGGCACATTGTAAGCCCCTGGTGCAGGAGAACGTTGGCAACGCACCAAAATGACGGGAAAACTTTCAAAAGCCATATAGTTGAAACATTTGAAACTTGAACCTACCCGTCGATTGTCTGTGACTCTGCCGGCACCCCTGCTGCTGGCACCAACAGCAGTGGTCGAAGTGTCCATGATCACTCGGAAGTTTCCATTAACACTGTCGCTGTTCGAAGCTGAAGGACTCGGTTGTGAAACACTGGCAGGAACACTCGCGGGAACACCAGCAGGAACACTGCACAAGTTTGTTTGTCCGTTGATAGCAACCATTGTAGCGCGCTCAAAGCGGACTCGGTACAAGACGGTACCTCCAACTGCTTTGAAACCTGGTACTCGAATGAGTCTGTCGCGTGGATTCTGAACAGCTAAATCTGCCTAAACTGACCTGCTCCCATCTATTTACAATGTTGCCGCACCGTTCCTTCCGAAGTGGGATTAGGGGTGCAATTAGTTGGCCACCCTGCTCCCACGGGTGGTCCCACCGTGCCAGTTCGAGGAACCGACCATAAAAGGGCTGGCCAAGAATTGAAGACACCATTATTTTGGCTGATCTTCTGCGATGGGTCGACCAGAATTGACTGTAGAAAGTCAAACAGCTTTTGTCTTTGGGACAAAAGGGCCCTGTCCTTGTGACTATTGAGTACTGTTCTGTAAAATGTCCATCTTTATTAGCCACGCTAATCAGGATGGACAGTCGAAAAGTTTCCTTGTTGAGGAAATCCAAAAAGCGATTTGAATCAAAACAGATACTAGCGGCAGCAGCGCTTGGATTCATTCGATCGCAGCATCCGACACGAGCTGACCAGACATCACGTTGCGCGGAAAAGAGCGAAGAGGGGGGATACCAAAGAGACCGCAACGCTGAGATGAAAAGTTCGGCACGTTCCCAGGGTAGATCGGCTCACTTCGGGTATGGTCGGATGTGCTACCTGTTGGATGTCGCTTGACTAGGCGTCGCATGACCTTTTTTACACAACGTCAAATGCCGCTTTGGTGTGAGATGGGAAAAGTCACGTGGGCGCCGTAATTAACTTTGCAACGTAGGCGGAAAACGGGGGAGTTGGCGACTGGATCAACCCACGGCGATCGTTCAGGGAACGGAATCGAAACAGTTTCCTACAACTCTGCCATAACCTGCAAAGTTGCGCTTATTGAACTGTCACTGTCACTGATTGACAGTTGTGCCCGCTGTCTGTCCCAAGTGGTAGTGGGGAGCAAAGTAAGTGTTCGTTACTCGTACTGGACCAAACTATGAAACTAATCGGTTTACGGTCTTTAATCGTTAACATCAAATTTCTTTCTCGCTCGGTCCACGGGCAATAGACGAAGAACGACACAAGGGCGGATCCAGGGGGGGGGGCATGGGGG